CGCTGCCCCTCTCGTCCCCCCCCCCCCCCCCCCCGTGTGTGCCCGCCATGTGCTCTTCCCGTCACCAGAGCTTTCCGGGCTGTGGACCCGATCTCAGACAGGTGTGCAACCCAGTGTGCTTCTGCTTTTGAATTTTCGGGAGCAAACTCCCAGGGAGCGGGCTGTGAGCCTTCCCTGTGCGCTCTTCACTGGGGCCTCTCTGCGGGCGGTCCGCGTGCCCAGACCGAAGCAGCGTGGACAGTTGGGCTGTTTGCCCTGATCCAGCCCCAGGAGTTGGGGGGCTGAGCTTGCCAAGTGTGCAGGGAAGCAGAGCGTGTCTTCTGGGGCAGTGCCACCCGGCCCCGCCCCACGTCCCAGGACCCGGGCCTGTTTGTCCCCACGTCCTGGCCACCCACGGGCTGTTCACGGACTTGCACACGAGCTTGCTCTTGTCTGCACGGTGAGGGGTTGGGTGTAGCTGGGGATTGTCGGGCGTGTTAGCGAGAGGGCTGCCTGGGTGCTGGCCTGGCTGGAGTCCAGCGAAGCAGACGCTCTTCAACAGACAGGGGCGGGGCCTGTTTTTATTCTTGGCCTCTCTTGAAAATACCATGAAAAATTTCAAACACAGATGAAAAGAGAGAGGATTTAATGCATAGAGGGAGCCCCCACGCCCATCTCCGACCTTCAGAACCCTGTGCTTTTGGAGCGTCCCCACGTTATCCATCCCCTCCTCGGCCTAACGTCCTAGAGAACTGAAGACAAATCCCAGACACCACAGCATTTCCCCCAAATGCTACGGCATGTGTTTCTAACAGATACAATCCCATCCTCACACTCAACAAAATGAATAATCCCTAAGGACCATCTCATACCCAGCCGATGCACTGTTTTGGCCGGTGGTCTTAGAAAATACCTTTTTAGTTGTGTGTTCAGATTTGGATGCAGATGTCGGGACCGACGGACATTTCTGGAAGGGCACGTGCGGGTGGCACGTGCACCTGGGGGGAGCTGGGTAACTGTCCTGGGCAACTTCCCACGCCACACCTGATGGCTCTCAGCCTCCAGGTGTCCTCTGAACACCGCCCTTCAGACCCGTGTTTCCTACAAACAAGCAGCTAGAGCTGGTTTTGATTTTTTTTAAGTGGAGGAAAAGCAGATTTCATAGATTAGCCGTGACGTTTTAAGAGTCGGCCTGATTTTCCTGAAGGGAGAGATCGCTAAAGGGAAAGCATGTCTTCCATCCTCATTTCCCCCGATAAATCCACACACAGCGCTGCTGGCTGTGCCTCAGAAACTCACACCGTTTAACTCATTAAAGTTTAATTCACATTAATGGGCGGGTACGGGCTTTATTGTAGAACTCGGGTAGTTTTCGGTGACTGCGGACCTGCCACTGGAGGCTGTTAGCAGAATGGCAGGGAGAGCGCCTGCTCCTCGCCCGGAGTCTGTGGGCCTCCCTGGGCCTGGGCACCGCCGGGTGCGGTCTGCGCCAGGGCGGGCGGTGCCTGGGGGGACGGACGGGGCGGGCCACCTTTTGGGGTGGGGGTTCAGGTCATCAGGGGACCTGGGGGGATTTGAGTATTTTGCCGAGCTGATGAATCACGTCCGTGGCCCTGAGTGGGGACGTTTCAGTGTAGTGAGCCCCTTTTACAATGTCAGCGAACGGGGGTCTGCTTTCCAGGCTGTGCAGCCCTCTCAGGTTGGGCGCGGGGACGTGCTGGCTTCCTGCTGACGCTGGCACTGAGCCCAGGCCCCAGTGACCCCACCCTGACTCTCACATGTCCCTGCCGCGCACCCCGAAAGGTAGGGCGGAGTTGAGTGGGGTGGGCCCCTCGGTGTAGACACCTGCTGAGGCCCTAGGCCGGAAGCCTTCTGTCCACACGCCGGCCGGAGACCCGCCGTCTTTCCTCCGGTCCTCACGAGGGCTTACCCGTCTCTTCCCAGCTTCCCCCCTGCCTCGAGCTTCAGGCAGACACCCACGGGGGCACACGTGTCCCTGCTGCAGGGGTGTCACTTTCCTCATTAAGTTGGTTTTTATGCGAACCCAGGGCTTCTCTTGTTCCACCTGAGACCCTGGGCATTTATGCCACTCGGTGCCCCCCCAGCCTGGGGACCAGCCCCCTTTACCCCCAAGCGCCAGCTTCTTTGTGAGCCGCATGTGCTTCCGGGTTCGCAGGGGCAGGAAGACGCCCATGTCCCGTTCTCGGGCTGCGGCCATTGTTCAGAGCCCAGTGCACCCTGCCACCCAGCTCCAGGCTGCCTGGCAGAGTGCCCGCCCGCCCCCAGGACCCCGTGCCCCTCACCCCAGAACCTCCTGCGTGTCTCAGCCCGTGGCCTGTGGCGAGTCCAGTGGCAGAGTGAAAGCCAAGGCTCAGACTGTGTACATTCTATCATGTTTCCTCTTAGACGGGACAGGGCGGGGACAGGGCGGGGACTGGGCGGGGACACAGGAGAGGGAAGGAAAACCTTCATTATTCCAGCTGGAAAATGGGCTGACTGCTCGGCAGGCCCTGAGACACAGGATTCCTGTTCAGCTCGTCTGCAGGGTGGGCCAGAGAGAATACAGATGGAGGAGCCCAGGGTCACACCTTGGGTGCAGGCGGTACAGCCGTTGAGCCAGGCTGGCAGCCTTGAAGGCCGTCCCCAGCCCACGGCTCTGTGTGGTTCCTTCCTCCCAGCCCTGCCCTCCACACCTGGCTCCCGCCTTCTCCTGGGGCCCCGGAGGCCAGGCTGCCTCCGTGTCTGGTGTTGGCTCGCTGTGTCCCCGGGAGCACACCCCTCACGCTAGTCCTGGGGCGTGGACCCCAAAGGGCCGCCCTCAGCGTGTCAGCAGTGCGGGCTTCACAGAGCGGCCTCATTGCAGAGAATGCTGTGTGGATGGGGACTAAAACAGCAGCTTACGGGGGGGGGGGAGGCCGGCCCCGTGACCGAGGGGGCCAGCCCTGACCAACTGTCATGTTGCTAGGGTGTGATGGCACGTGACAGGAGTGGCCTTCCTTGTCTGGTCAGGAGGAGAGCCCACGACAAGTCCTGGGGGGGACAGTCCCCAGAGTCCCTGAGCTCCCTCCTCCACGCTGTCCCCGTACCTCACATGGGGGAGGTCAGAGGAAGTGTCCCAGCCTAGTGGGGCCCCGTGGGATCCGGGCGGCGGCTGGGACAGAGAGAGGGCAGCGGGGTGCACAGGAAACCTGGGCCGACCCTGGCCTTCAGTTGGAGCTTGGGCCGCCGTGCCCACAAGAGGCGCTCCCTGCGGGGGAGGTGGCTATGTGACAGCTCTCCGCGCTATGTGTAAGTTTTCTGGAAACCCACAACTGTTCTAAAATAAAAAATTTGTATAAAAAATAAAATTGGAGAGGGAAATGGGCTGGGGTGGAGGCTGAATTATTACTGCTGCCGCGTGCCTCGGACTCTGACCGTGAGTCTGGAGCGGCAGGTGCGCCGGGCGCTGGGTCCGCGGGGGGATGTGCGCTGCCCGGCTCCCCCGGCTTCCCGCCGGCACCCAGCCCGCCCCGCTGAGCAGTTTCGGGGTGCACTTACCCCGCCTTCCATGTTCCGAGGGCATCCAGCTTTCGTTTCTGCGTCGCTGCTGCGGCTGCTGCGAGCCCCTGGGTCCGGGGGGTGGGGTGGGGCGCACAGGGCAACAGGGAGGAAGGACCGGGAGGTCTCGGTGTTCTGTACAGACGCACCGTCCGTCCCAGCCACCAGGATGAGGCAAGAAAGAGAAAGAAAAGGAAAAACAGACTGTCCCTGTCCCTGCCCCAGGCCACGTGATCCTGCACGTGGAGAACGAACCGCCATCCAGGATCAGGTCGCAGGGAGCGTGAGTTTATTAGCAAGATGCTGGGTGCAAACCAGTGTGTTGTGAGCCGTCGCATCTCTGGATCCCAGCAAGCAGATGCTGAAATTCGAAACGCTTTCGCGGTATCGTATGTAACATGCCGAATACCTAGGGATAAGCCTCAAGTTTCCCGGCACTCTGCGCCCCAAATTCTAAAACACCTTTGAGAGAAATGAAATGAAGTGATGGTCCCTGTTCACGGGTTGGGAGACGTGGTCCAGCCAATTGGTTCGCTCCCTCCCTCTCCCCCCTTCTCCCCTCCCCTCCCCTCCTCGCCCTCCCTCCCCTCCATGCCTGGCTGCAGCCCTCACCCCTCTTCCCTCCCCATCTCTCATTAGGTCACCTGTGTGTGGGTTTTTCACGTACTGTATTTACTGGTCCAAGAAACCTAATTTTCTGGCCACATTATAGAGCAGAGCCTCTTTTACGTCTATCAGGAAAGGGGTTGAACCTTTTTATTCAGTCCCAGTTTGTTTCCCTGTTTGTTTTTCCTTGTTATTACAGGGGAGGCGGCCGTGAGGTCTGCCACGGGGGACATGGATTGCAGGGTGGGGGCTTCTTCTGCGCCCGGTTGCAGAGCCCCGGATGGGATGGTTTTCCAAGCACCTTGCTCCAGACCGCGTCCCCTGGAAAACCGCAGCTAGATTAGGATTTTCAGTGGGGACTTCTGGCATCTCTGAAAGTATTTACAGTGGGATTCAAAGTTCTATATACGTTATATTTCTTACTCTTTTGTATTTACAGTGGGATTCAAAGTTTTATATACGTTATATTTCTTATTCTTTTGTATGAGCAAGGGAGAGGGGCAGAGAGAGAGAGAGAGAGAGAGAGAATCTCACAGGCTCCAAGCTCAGCATGGAGCCCGGTGCAGGGCTTGATCCCACCACCACTGTAGGACTGAGACCTGAGCCAGAATCACGATTTGGATACTTACCCGACTGAGCCACCCAGGCACTCCCAGAATTTTGTATTAATGAAATTAAAATTTCATTTATAAACAAAATAAGTTTCACTTATTTACTTTTAGGAAAAAAGATTCCAAAGTGCTTCTCGGTCACTGTCTGGGGTCTCCTTCTGAATGGCGGCGAAGGCGTCCCCGTGGCGTGGCAGCGGGTCAGCACTCAGCTGGTGGGTGGTCTTGGGTCTTGTGCAGAGGCTCTGGTGCAGGTGTGCCGGTGACGCAGGCTGCTGGTCCCTTCTCGGGGAGCCTGGGGTGTCTTGGCTCCGGAGGCGCTGCGCGGACACGTTGCCGAGTTGGGGAGCAGTTGCCGGTGGGGCGGGAGGTGTCCCAAACGCCCCGCAGTGGCCTCTCCCTGTGGCCCGGGAGGAGGGGGGCCCACACGTGGCTCGTTCCTCGAAGGCCTCACGTCTTCCCTCGCTTGGGGGTCGTCAGCCCTTGGGAGCACTTCCTGGGGCTCCTCTGAGGGTGTCTGCGCTTGGAGTGTGAACGCTGGCTGAGACCCGCGCGGCTGGGTGACAGAACGTGGGTGCGGGAAGGCGTCCCCCGCTGGGGGTGAAAAGCCAGGTGTCCTTAGGGCGGTTGGTCCGACGGACGTTCCGTGTCTGGTCGTGACGGGGAAGCCGGCCGCCCTGTGCAGCAGCGCCTTCTCCTCCAGCCAGCCGTGACCGTGACCGCCGCGTCAGCGTCTGTCGGGATGCGCCCGTCACCGTGGCCCGCTCCGCACCACTTGTTGGGAGCTAATTTTAAACCCACAGTGTGATTCCTGGAAGTTTTGCCAGAGTTTTCCCTCGCTCCCACCCGGGAGGAGACGGAAAGGCTCGGCAGCCCGAGAGCGGCGGCTCCAGGTTTAGGGTGCTGGCCGCGAGCCAGCTTGTCTCTGCGCGCAGCCCGGGAGGCAGCGACGGTTCCCGAATTCCAGCCCAAAGTGGGTTTGAGGACGCGATCCTTTATGCTCTGAGCACCTGGCCAAGCGTTTTTCTGCAAGCGTGTTGGGGCGCCTCGGTGTCCTCGAGGGCCCCCGGGGCTGTGTCTCTGTCCACACCCGGCCTTTGTCAGCCTCTGGGAAGAGGGTGAGCAGCTCTTCTGTCTCCGCCACCTCCGAGCTCGTGGTCTCTGCGGAAAAGCCCTTATGAGGAGCACAAGCCAGTAGAAGGTGGCCGCGAACCCTGGTGGGCCAGAGCCGCCCACCCAGGCGCCCTCAGGCTGGAAACTGTCGCCCGCCCGCTGCGGTCCCGGGGGCTGTTCTGGTTCTCCTGCAGAGGGTCCCTCGGTTTCTGACTCGGCAAATAAAAATAACCTGTGATGGAGTTAAAACTGTTCTCCTTTAAGAACAAGAAGGACACTTGCCTTTCTGTTGCGTGTGAGGAGCCCCCTCGCACACTCTGGGTGTGAAGTATTTTCATGGAAACGCGAGCAGTTTCTGAAGCCAAATGCTTTCTCTGTCCCCCAGATGGACTTTCTGGCCGAGACCAGCCCGTGGAGCTGCTAAACCCTGCCCGCGTGAGCCACATGCCCAGCACGGGTAAGTCGGCACCCCGGGCTCCGCCGAGGGGGCGATCGGAGGCTCCACCCCTGGGGGGCTGGGGGAGCAGGGTGGGAACGGATCCGTGCACCCCTGCGCTCTTTCCCTGGGCTGAGGTAGGCTGCCCGTCGTAGAGGCGGAGTGGCACTGCCTTGATGCTACTGAAGCAGCAAAGAAGCGTATCTTTTCCATCCTGAGCTCCGGAGGGCATGTTCTCAGGGGTGCCCCCTGCTTCTCTTAGATGGAACCCCATGTCCAGACCGTGGGAGGGGGGCCTGTGGGAAAGAGCTCTGAGCCAGAGCTGGGGCTGTGAGCCCGCACCCGGCGTGGTGGGGCTGCTGGGCGCCGCAGGAACCGCGGGCCGGGCCCGCCTCGCCCACCTTCCGGGCTTCCCCTCGCTGACACCGCTCGGTGACACGGTCCCCTAAGCGCCTCTTCCTTCTTTTATTAACTGAAGACCCGCAGCTGTGATTATGAGTCTTTCATTCCATATATGAGATTTCCAAATATTACGCCTTAAGTAACATTTTCCAAACCTAGATGGCCATGGAAACATTTTTTCCAGTCTTTTTCTCTCTCTGAAACACCTACCCCCTTCCAGCGTCCTCCAGGACTGCAGCTCCCGGCCTGGGCGCCGTTCGGGCCTCATGGGCCGCGTGGCCTTTCCGGGAGTCCGCCCCCCCCGCCCCCGCCGCACCTCCCCCGGTGCCGTAAACAGAGGCTGGAGGTGTCGGGGAAGGGCCGTCCCTCCCTGCACAGGACTGTGGGTCAACCAAGGGCCCTTCTTCGCATTGCCCCAAACACAGGCCCCTGGTGCTGCTCGGTGGTGCTCCCGGACGGTGCTCCATGCCCCTGGGGCTGGCGCTCACCCAGCCGCCCGCCGGGATGCTCACGGCCACCCCAGCTTCTGCTCCTTCATCCCCATCCCCTCCTTGACTTGTGACCCCGCACAGTGGCGGGGGTGGGGGGTGGGGGGGGCTGCAGAGGGCACAGGAGAGGCTCTGGTTTCCGTCCACGTAGAGTAAACCATGCTGACTCTCACTCGGTCTTCAGCTTGCTTTGCCAGTGTTGTTCTTGTTTAAACGTGGAGCCCTGTGCCGCAAGGCATTTTAAGACAGGTCCCCAGTGCTCACCGAGGGCTGGGGCAGAGGGGACTCTTCACATAGCCTGATGCACGTGAGAAGGGGGTAAGTATGTGTCGTTTCCAAGTGCACCACAAAGCGGTGGTGGATTTTCCGGCTTGGGAAGAACACCCTGTCTGTCGAGACCGAGGTGGGACTCCGCTTAGTGTAAGACAGCCCGTGGGTTTCGCGTTTGGGCTGAGGGGCCCCGGGATCCCGCCACCCACTGGCCGGTGGCTGAGTTTCTGTTTTGTTTGCTCATCTCTTAGTTGGGGATACAAATGCCTTCTCTGCAGGATTCCTAGAAGGATCGAATGTATGTGTCTGATTCTTAGTAGTTCTTGGACAGATGTTGTCTCTTCACATCCCGTGCATAGCCGTGACAGAGCGGGTCCCGGGTCCCGGGAACGTCCCTGTGGGCCCTTCCCCCCTCCCCCCCCTTTGTGGGGCACTGCCCACCTTGAGGAAGGTGTCTTGGAGAGGGTGCCCCTAGGGAACTGAAGCAGGTCATCTCTCCTTCTGGGACCCACGACCCCAGTGGGCAGAGGTGGATAATGTCGCACTTCCTGGTGGCTTTGTGTTTTGTGTGCATGTCACTGGCAGTCAGCGTTTGCGGTGGGGAAGCCGTGCCCGTGAGCTGCTGGCGAGGAAGGGGGTGCGCGTGGTGCTAGGGGCATGACGTTGCTGAGGCGCCGTGGAAGCCACTGTGAAGGGCCTTCCTTGCGGCTCCACGCTCAGCCAGTCCAGCCCACGGTCAAGTACACTGCACAAGAAGATGTTGATTCGGGGGCACCTGGATGGCTCAGTCAGTTAAGCATCTGACTTCGGCTCAGGTCATGATCTCACGGTTCGTGGGTTCGAGCCCCGCGTTGCATTGGTTCTGTGCTGACAGCTTGGAGCCTGGAGCTGCTTCAGATTTTGTGTCTCCCTCCCTCTCTGCCCCTCCTCCACTCATGCTCTGTCTCTCTCTGTCTCAAAAATAAAAATTAAAGATGATGTTGATTTGGGTCATAGAAGGATTAGAAAGTTAACATGAAAACTTCTTACAGCCATGTGGTTGTGATGCAGGGGTAGAATGATGTTCACTACTTTCCTGCCCATCCCCGCCTGCCCTGCCTGATTTTCTGCAATTAAGTTTAACCTAAGGCCTCTTTTGACACGTGTCAGTGTGAGCGCGAGTGCTATGTTTCGCTCTGTGCCGGAATGAGTCCCGCGTCCACCAGGGAGCGCGCTCCGTGACGCCGTGGCTTGTACGCCGGGCAGGGAAGGGCTCCGATGGCTTCCCCACGGTGACCTCCCACCTCCTGGTCGGTTGGGAATGGTGGCATCGTCAACACGGGTTTTTTCTGATCGTGCTTCTCTTTAAACAGTCCTTACAAAGTCTTACTTCAAGCGGAGAAGCCCTGGTCCCCTCTTATGTGGCACCTCGGATCGAGACAGTAACTCACACTATGACATCTCATGGCAGATGAGTCCGTTGTAGAAGGAAAACGCCAGAATTCTGTTTCGTTTGGGTTAATTCTGCTTTCTTAAACCCCCCCCCCCCATAACTTCCTACATGTAAACAGGCCTTTCCTTCTTTCTGTTTTTCCTTGTTTGTAAAATTGTGAATTGTGGGGGCACCTGAGTGGCTCAGTTGGTCAAGTGTCTGACTCTTGATTTCGACTCAGGTCATGATCTCAGGGCTCGTGAGTTTGAGCCCCACATCGAGTTCCATGATGACAGCTTGAGCCTGCTTGGGATTCTCTCTCTGGCCCTCCCTCTCTCCCTCTGTTCCCTCCTTGCTTGTGCCTGCATGCTCTCTCTAAATAAATAAATAAGCTTGAAAAAATAGAATTGTAATTTTGAAGTAGTTGTAACAATAAAGAAACCACACAGCCACTTGCCTCCCCTCAGATATAACAGGTCTTCTGTTACGGTTACTCCAGGTGAGCATCGTGTTTCTGTTTGTGAAGCGGAAAGGCAGTTACAGACGCGGCTATGCCTCCGGCTTTCCGGAAACTGTCATTTTCCTTTCTGGGTGAAGACCTGGGTCACAGCTGGGACAGCCGGGCAGGGTCCTGAGGAAGCCATGCCGTCAGCTCCGTTGGGTGGGGAGGGGTGTGAGAGATGGAGGACAGAGAAGGGGAGAGTGGGCATCTTGGGGAGCGGGAGGGCCCAGGATCGCACACCCGCCTGCGGCAGGTGCTTGGGGCATAGTGACGTGGAAGACGTGGAAGTCACTCAGTTTTGAATCCTTGTCACTGTCTTGAAGGAACAGACTTCTCCCTGTGGTATGAAAACAAGCTCACCATGGAAGAGACACAGGGTACCGAACCCGCTGGGTGTTGGCTTCCACGGGAGGGGGCCTCACTTGGTGCCGCGCAGTGCGGACGCTCGCCGGCCCTGGCTGAGTGCACGGGGTCGCGGAGAGGCCTCGGGCATCTGGGAGCGGAGTGGAGGAAAGCCAGGCCGGAGTAGGAGCGAGACGCGCGTCGGGGGTGTGGCCGTTACCCTGACGGCATCCGCGGGGCTGCCGTCCGTTGACGCGTGCTCTTCATGGCAGCCACGCGCCCCGCTGGGCCCCCAGTGTGTGCGTGATGGGGCAGGACCCCCTGTGCTCAGGTGCCCTGGAGAGAGGCTGCCGCAGGCACGGGGGGCCCTGAGGGCTCCCCAGGTACGGGACACAGGCACGGGAGGCTCCCCGGGCACGGGACGCAGTCACCGGCACCCCTAAGATGGGCACGCGGGTCAGTTAGGAAGTTTCCTTACGAAGGCCACCCGACAGGTGAGACCCTGGCCTCTTGAAGAAACCACAGACACTCTTGAGAACTTACCAAATTAAGACATAAAGGGGGGGTCAACTTTACACCTGGATTCCCACATCGTAAGGGCGATGGTCCGGCATGCTGTCAGAGGGGTTACGGAAGTTTGGAGCAGGGGCTGTCAGAGGCTGGGCAGAGCGAGAAGCTTCCGGGGCCTTCTAGGCATGTTGGTGGTGCCATCGTCTTGTTTCTGTGAGAGGAAACACAGCTCGTGAGGCAAACGCATAGATGAGTCCTACGTGACCCCGTGGGACCCTGGGGAGGTGCCAGAAAACCTCCCTGATTGGCACCTGGGCCGAGGAGTCACTGCCACCAGTAGATCCCTTGGGAGCTGCGCCTGCGCTGCGATACTTCTCACGTGATGCTCCTTTGAGCGTTTGTAAAGCGAAGCCGAGGTTTTGGGTTTGTGACGGGGCACGACCAAGGACTGTGCCGTCTTGCGAGGCTCCTGCCTGAGCACCAGGAGGGGTGGCGGGTTGGAGGTCGTGCTCTTTGATCTCCTGGTTCTGGCGCCCTGGGGACCCCGGGGCCAGAGGTGGTGCCCCCCACCACGCACTCCATCGTGGCCGAAGACGGGCTGCCCTCTGCTGTAGGTGGGCGCGTGCAGGCACAGGGCACATGGGGCACGCAGCGCGCATCTGCTCTGCGTCCCAGGGGCCTCCTATGCCCCCCGCCCCTGCTTGCTGCTTTGCCTTCCACTTGGGAGGAAACGTGAAGCCCAGAACATAAAGATGTCAAAGTAAAATTCTGCAGTTTGAAAATCTGAGCAGAACAAAAGTCCCCGTGGTTTGCTCAGCGTCAGTAAATGCCGCGTCCTCCACCTCCGGGTGCAGGCTCACCCGAGGGCCCGTGTGGGCAGCTGCGAGTCAGCCTGGACTCAGGGTTCCGGGGCCACGTGAGCTCAAGGCCTGAGTGTAACTGCGGTTTTTTCCAAGGAGGCTGCATGCCGTCTGTGCGTGGTGTGCGTCCCGAGCGGTCTGGACGTGCTGTGGGGTGACCTTAGGGCGCAGGAGACCTGACGGCCCGGAGCAGCTCCACGCAACAGGGTGCCAGGCTGCTGCGTGCTGCTGGGTCA